TTTTTTTTTTTTTTAAAAGAACACTTAAGCTTTTAGTCTACTCAACAATACCATGTCTTGATTTTTGACTCTTATAGCTCAGTTCGGTTTGAAAACATCTATTCCTCAGGATGGGTAGAGTACTCTAGTCACAGCTCTTAAGCCTGTTCTGAGATGTTGAATAGTGACCCCTGCTGGAAGGAGTAAAATGCAGAGTGGACGGTGTTTTGCCTAACCCCATTTTATTTTGATGTGCTGTCGATGTGAAATCCCTTGGAGATTGTAGGTAAACAACCTTATTAACATAGGTTGTCTGAATGTTGGTTTATGCAAACGTGTGAAGCATTGGCCAGGAAGTTTAAACTTTCTGTGCAGGCAGCATGGCTACGTCTGACCCAGCCTGAGCTGCGATCTGTCTTGCAGAGAAGCTCTGCTAGCTTCCCTGTGCTGTGCCTTTTCTGTGTGCAGACTTCCCCGGCATCCTGTCTGACCACACAGCTGGTGTGAGGAGGCTGCTGCCTAATCAGGTGTGCAGTATGTTGTACTCTGTACTAGGACTTCAGAGCCAGCTGGTACAGTTGTGTAATACTGGTATTATGGGCTATGACTTAAAAGTATGTGTGGATGAATGGCACAAACAGTGATGGTGCAAACAGAGCTGCTGAGATCTCTGCTTTCCTGGTGACAGTACAGGATTATGGGAAAGTCGTGCTGTGTGCCAAGGCAGACCACTTAACTCATTTATAATGTTCTTCATACTATTCTCCTGGATAGGTTACCTCCACCTAGAGGTAGTATTGAAATTGTGCTCAGCTGTACAACTTGCAAAAAGTGAGGTTTTGTTCAAGGTGATGTGTCACATGTAATCTCCCGCCTTCGTAAGATCTGATCTTGACGGGAAGGCATCCTTCACTGTATTAATCTTCAAACACGCAATTGAAATATTTCTAAACTGGCTTTGTTTTGACTTTTTTTTTTCCCCAAACTTCATAGGATCTTAATGCCTACAAAAAGCAAGGAATGGCATTGCTGTCAAAGATGGGGGAGTCTGTCAAATACGTTACAGGAGGCTACAAATTAAGAAGTCGGCCACTGGAGTTTGCAGCCATTGGGGACTATCTAGATACATTCTCTCTAAAGCTTGGTACCATTGACAGAATAGCACAACGGATTATCAAGGAGCAGTTGGGTAAGAACACGAGGTGCTCTACTGTAATACTTGAGTCTGAGTGTATCTTGTTCTGGTTGATGGCATGACCAAGGTAACTTGTGTCAGTGATTCTGGCCTGTGATGAGCCATGCACAAAGCAAAATCTAATACTTCCTGTGGATTTAAAACAGGCCCAATGCCTAACAGAGTATCTTAGCTCAACTCTCCGAATATTTTTTTTAAAGTCGCTCCTGTTATACCAACTAACTTTCTTACTAGACTTTTTGAAAGGTTTTTGGGAGGGGGAAGAACCTATAGATTCCATCTGGAGGAGTACAGATGGAATTTGTAGGCGAAGATTATCTTTACAGATCTATCTTAGTAGAGCCAAGTTTTATAGGTGCCCAGCAAAGCCCCTCTGTCACTCTCCTCCTCAGCTGGGCAGGTGAGAAAAAAACATATAACAAATAGCTCGTGGGTCGAGACAAGGACAGATCATTCAGTGATTACTGTCACAGGGAAATATTACTTTTATCACCAGTCAAAGTGAAAACTAAAACCAAATCTTGAACATCTTCCCTTCATCCCTCCCTTCTTCCCGAGCTCAGCTTCACTTCCAATTTCTCTACCTTCTCCCTTGAGTGCCACAGGGGGATGGGGAATGGGCATTGTGGTCAGTTCATCACATGTCTCTGCTGCTTCTTCCCCACCAGGGGAAGGACACTTCACACTTTTTCTCTGCTCCAGTTTGTGGCTCTTCCCATAGGAGGCAGTTTTCCACCAACTTTACCAATGTGAGTCCTTCCCATGGGCTGCAGTTCTGCATGAGTTGCTTCAGCATGGGTCCTTTCCACAGGTTGCAGTCCTTCAGGAGCAGACTTCTCCAGTGTGGGCTTCCCACGGGGTCACAGCCTCCTTCAGGCATCCCCCTTCTCTGGTCTGGGGTCCTCCCTGGGCTGCAGGTGGGTCTCTGCTCCCCCGAGACCCTCCATGGCTGCGGGGCACAGCTGGTCTCACCATGGTCTGCACCACAGGCTGCTGGGGAATCTCTGCTCCCGGGCTCCCCCTCCTTATGCACTGACCTGGGGATCTGCAGGGCTGTTCTTCTCGTATCTCTCTCGCTCTCTACTGCAATTTCTCCTCTCAGTTTTTTTCCCCCTTCTTCAAAGGAATTATCCCAGAGGCACTACCACTGTTTGTTGGGCTCAGCCTTGGCCAGTGGTGGGCCTCTCTTGGAGCTGGCTGGCGTCACATTTTCCAGACAAGCTCTGCCAGACACAGGGGAGGTTTCCAGCAGCTTCTCACAGAAGCCACCCCTGTAGCCCCCCTGCTACCAAAACCTTGCCACACAAACCCAATACAATATGTTGAAAAAAGAAAAAAAAGACTAGCTACTGCAGAGATGCAAATGTCTTTGTGTTGGAAGCTTGTAGGAATGGTCAGTTAAGCAAGAGGAAACTTGGACGTGTCACCTGTGCAGCAATAGAGCTCTGTTAAGATTTTAATGGAACACAGGACTTGACTCTGTGTTAATGTTTGCCAAGCTTGGTGCATAGTTTCTCCTGTTTTGTATGAATGTTTGCAGATCCTTGTGCCTCGCGCTTATCCTGTTAATGTACTTTTCCATCTGCCTCTTGCAGAATACTTGGTGGAGCTACGAGAATATGGACCTATTTATTCAACCTGGGGAGGGCTGGAGGTTGAGCTGTCAGAGCCACTGGAAGGGGTGTCTGCCTGTATTGGGAACTGCTGCACAGCTCTTGAAGAGCTCAGTGAAGACATGACAGAAGACTTCCTGCCTGTGCTTAGGGAATATATATTGTACTCGGAGTCGATGAAGGTAAAGAGCCCTGTGGCGGAAGACACTCTCATTGTGACATGTGCATGGAGTGATGTATTAGCAAGTACATTCTTTCCAACAGTGAGAAGGGTTGGCAGTGGGAAAAGTGGGGAAGCAAACAATACATTGAGCAGGAGGATGTTTGCAGGATCAAAAGAAAACTAAGTACGTTTAGTAGCAGAGCACTGCCTGGGTAGCATTATCTGTCTGTTCTGCTGTTCAGTCAAGCTGAGGTCAGTAATGCTAGGGTGTACACAAAGTGTTGCAGACTTGCTCCTTCATCAGAGTGGCAGGTGGTACTCTATAATACAGAGACATCCTTTGGCTGCCTAGAATCTTCTCTGAGTTGTTAGGAAGTCAGTCGTGGCTCAGCTCTTTTCACTGAGTCAGTGTCTGGCTCTGCAGAAAAGGTGGCATTAACAGCTGCTGTCACTTGTATGTAGCTGGGTTGGGTGGCCCCTTTTTGGGACCAAGTGTCCTGATGACACAATGCTTCATCTCTCATCCCCATATCCTAGGCCAGGATGTGTCTGTTGCAAAGGTCTGTTAAGTTCTTCATGCCAAATAGCCGCTTAAAGATGATGCTCTGTGATTCTTAATTTTTCTAAGAACTTGATATCTTACTGCTTATGCACAGGTAAAAAAAGCTGTGTCAATGCAGTTTCTAATTCCTTGAAGTTCAGGAGCATTGGTAGTCAATCCCATTGCATGGGGAGAAGAATTACTGATTTAACTGCACTGAAAATTGAAAGACTTCAGTTTGGCTGTTAGAGCCTTCCACCACGTGCCCATGTACAGTATGTATTAGCAGTCCCTCTGTAGGGTACCAACAGACAAACTCCTTATGAGGACTTTCCCCTTGGAAGAGACGTTACAGGGCTATGGTATGCACTCCTTTAGATATCTAATACCCTATTGTAAACCTGCAGTCTGAGCATGGTAATCTCTCTCCATCTTAATCTTAGTTATCCTATACTTCTCAAACAGAGAATTGAAACACTTACTTGCAGATTTCTTTTTCCCAGCTTCATATGGCTAGCTGTATGGCTTCTGTCTTGCCTGGCTGTAGTATTCGCACAGACGGCTTTGCTCTAATTCTCTGAACATACTCTTTGCTTTTGTAGTCATGGTATTGACCCCAGCATAAATGAAGTGTGTTTTCTTTACAGGACTGTTAACACCCAGGTAGTTTTGGAGTGCCCTGAGCTGTAGCTGGGAGCCTTGACCCAGAGTGTTCAGACTTACGTTTAGCCTTATCCTATAGGAAGGAGTATGTGTGTGTATGTACTTACGAATAAATAGAGCATGAGGCTAGTGGTTAAAGCTTTTAGTCCAGAACATCTGGCTTTTAATGCTACAAATATCATGGCCAACTGGAGATGGCTTCTAAAGTGGCAAGCTGAGTTGTGAGAGGTGCTTTTCACAAATATAGCCGGGGAAATTTTTTTTTTAAGCTAAAAAGCAAGGGTTTATTCAGCTGAAGAGGTACTTCAGGCAGATAAACACCATTTACCACAGGGAGCACGGCGTTAAGGACTTGCAGCTAGACTACCTGTTGGCTTGGAGACAGCACCATTCTAAAAGGGCTCTTGTCAGATGATGGCGCAGACACTAAGTGCAGTCTCCAAGCCAACAGGTAGTCTAGCTGCAAGTCATTAACGCCACTCTCCCTGTGGTAAATGATGTTTAACTGCCCTGAAGTACCTTTTCAGCTGAAGAAACCCCTGCTTTTTAGCTTAATTTTTAGACTGTTGACTTGACTTTCTAGTGCCCTGAAGGATTCATTCTTCCTGTCAGTTATTCTCCTGGTAATGGGTTGAACATAATCAGTGTGGTGGTGCTTTGGAACTGGTGATTAACGCCACTCTCCCTGTGGTAAATGATGTTTAACTGCCCTGAAGTACCTTTTCAGCTGAAGAAACCCCTGCTTTTTAGCTTAATTTTTAGACTGTTGACTTGACTTTCTAGTGCCCTGAAGGATTCATTCTTCCTGTCAGTTATTCTCCTGGTAATGGGTTGAACATAATCAGTGTGGTGGTGCTTTGGAACTGGTGGGATCTAAAAACACTTGCAAAATAGCAGTTAATAGAAAATAAGGATTACGCTGCTTAGTGTCCAGCTTGGGCATCTCATTAGCTTTACTCTGTTTGAAAATCAAGAATAAAAATTACTGCAAGCTAGGTTATACCGTTCCTATTTTCCTTCCCTTGGAAATGCCAAAACTGAAATCTCACGGGTCATATCAACTGCAGTTTTCTTATGCCAGAAAATACCAGTCTGCTATTTCTGCAGTAAGCAGCTACAGAACTGTCTTCCCAGATTCAATAAAACCGCGTAAGTAACTATACAGGAGGCTACTTTCGGAGTGCAGGAAGCCTTCTGTGGAAAGGGTTGTCCTCTTCACTAGCGATGCAGTCTTGTTCATCAGGTGCTGTGAGGCCTGCTTGTGAAACTGAGGTCTGTTTGAGTCTTTCAGGGTACAGCTTTTGGATAGAGTACTTGATGGGAAGGTAAGTCTTTAGGTACTAAGGGTTCACTGCAGCCTCGATAGCTTTCTCTGTTGCACACCGTCCCCCAGGTACAGGTGTAGTAACTTGATTTATTGAGCAATCCCTAGCTGGGTGAGTGCCCCTCAAATTAAGAACTGCCAGGTTACCATCTCTGTTTTAGAGATGAATGTTCACCTTGGTGTTGTCAGGAGCACTGTTACACCTAAGCGAGACAGCCTGAGGGGGCTGCATATACGGAAGCAAAGCCCGGTAGCTCTGGTTGAAACAAACAGTAGGTGACTCCAAGGAAGGCCCGTCTCTGGGTTCGTTTGGAAGACTTGCAGAAGTGGGGAGAGGCTAGCATTGTGGTCTTGAGTTAACGTGTGCTGGTAGTGTCTAAGAGACGCCTTTTATAAAACACAGGCTGTGTATGAGATGGCCAGGTGACACCTCGAATTGCTGATGCAATGAGGCCTTTTGTCAGCAAACGTGCAGTACCACATTTTTTGTGGTACACTGGTTGTGCCCCAGGGAGGCAGATGTAGAGTATGAACTCGGCTCTACAGAACTCAGAGCTAATCTTAAAATGTTATGAGAACTCTCTATGCTTAACACCACCAGAAAGGCTTATCAGATGATGCAATCCCCAGCTGTGTGCTTGGGCATTAAAAGTAATGTATGCTTAAAGTAAGCACCTCACAAATAGCTAACAGTCTCTCTAAACATGTGCAGTAGATACAGAACCTCCTGTGAGGCCTAGTCGTAGTAGGGAGATGTGTGGTGTGCAGATGGCATAGGATTGCAGTTTGGGAAAGGAGGATGATGGCAAACTTCTGAAGCTCCTTCAGAGACGTGGGCCAAGGTGAAATGTTTCAACTAAATACAGAATGGAGAAGGATCTGCCTCGCTGAAAGCAAGCCAAGTCTTCGTTGTACAGGGACCAGTGGTTTAGTTCTGTCCCCAGATAACTGAGATGTGGTGTGTGAGGTTTTTTCTGTTTGGTGTTGATTTCTTCCAACCTTTTTAAACATTTTTTATTTATTTATTTATTTTTCTCTCTAAGTGAGGCCTTAGTGGAAGTATTGCATGGGCTGTGGTAAGTCTGGGCATACTTGGTAGAGGGATTTTTGGAGGAGCTGCTAAAGCATTAATGCATTGATCTGTAACTGAGAAGAGATTGCCTGGAGGTGCCAGAGGAAGCACTTCCTTTCACATATGGGACAAGTGAAAGGGAAGGCAATATTTTTCTTATCACTTACAGGTCAGCCATTAATGGATACTTAAAGCTGTATTCAGAAGCATATTTATGGGCCACAGTGGATGGGCTTGGGCACTTAAGGAGAAAGAACACTCCCGCCCTTTGAATCTAGCCTGCCAGTAGCTGTTAATCATTGGCTACTCCTGGTACAGATGCAGCATACTGCACTAACTCCAGGCTCCTAAACGCTGAGTGCACTTGCTGGAGGCGGCTGTTTTTATGAGAAGAAATTTTATGTGAGTCAGATTCCAGAGGCAATACAAAGTAGAAATACCTATTAAATCTCTCAGGCTTTTGTTGCATTGCTAACCTCAATCACTTAAGGGCTATTCACATGGTTGCTTAGATTCCGAAAGGAACGGGAATGTTGTGGTTTTTCAAGCAAACATGACCAATGGCATACTTGCTTACATCCCTCTGGGGACAAAAGGGAGACTTAAGCTGTCAGAGGCAAAAATGATAAATTCACCTTTTTTTTTTTCCCTAAACTAATGGCAGCTTTGTGTATGGGCTCCCATTCCCATTTGTCATGGACTGAGGTTTGTAAGAATATTGATTGCAGTGTCTCCTGTCTACCCTAGAGCAACTGCACTGGTGACCTTCCCTTGGCTTATGTTGGAGGAGAGGGAGGATGATGATTAGTAGGTACAGGGTTTGTCCATCTCTAATTAGGAAACAGATCTTGGCTAGACTGGCTTTTAGAGCTCTGAGATCTGGTCTTTTAAACAGGTATTTCTGTAGGCAGCTGTGCACATGACTAGTTCTGCTTAACTATTCTTGTCTAAAACTGTTAAAATTACAAGTTACCTCTTTTTTTCCTAATGGAGTAATTCCTTCTGGGTGGCAGGAGTGAAGACCCGAAGCATGTTGTCCACTCTAGCAGGCTCAAAACTGCCTTTTTTTTTTTTTTTTAGTAGTATAGTCTAAAAAAGCCTGATTTCTACAGTCCTACAATTTAAAAAACAGCCACAATTTAACCCTAGTGGAAATCTTGGCTGTGGGTGTATACAAGGTAAGGGTAGCATCTTTTGCGCTCTATTCTGAGAATACTCTGCCAGTGAAATGTTTACTGCTTGTGAAACTCGCTCAGATGGTTCAGTGCTTTTCACATAAATTGTGCTTTTCATAGTTTTATTTTTTTTAATTAAACCAACAAGCAAATCACCCAAACTAATCTAAAAGCAAAGCTTACTTTTCTTCTAACATGAGAATGTAACAGCTTGCTGTAAAGCACTTTGGGGTCTTTGCAAGTGAAAAGGTAGATGTAATAATACTCTGTTATGGCCTTTCTGTCTCTTAGCCCACGCTGTTGTCTGTCTGCTCTTTGAGTGTATCAGCAGCTTCGCAGTAGTCCTTGACAGCTGTGATGCTTTTGTTATATCCTTTTCATGCTAATAATAGATCAACTGATGAACTGAATTTAATTAGGGTTATATTCATGGTTACATGACAGCTTCTATCTTGAGTGCCTCTAGCTTGTCCAAAAGTTGAATTTTATCTGACCCTGCCAGCTGCTGGAGACCAAGTGCTCTTGTTTTTAAAATCTACTTCCTAAATACTGTAAAATAGTACAAAGTCAGTCTGAAACACTTGACTTAAGGCTGAATTAGCCTTAAGCTGTATCACTTTGCAGTTTCTTGCAGGCTGAGGAGGGAAGGAACAGGAAGATCCCTCTCACAAATGTCTTCTCTCTTGTCCATAGAATGTGTTGAAGAAGAGAGACCAAGTTCAGGCAGAGTATGAAGCAAAACTGGAAGCAGTAGCCTTGAAAAAAGAAGACCGTCCAAAGGTTAGTACTTAAAACTACTCTACAGAAACAGCTTGCACTTAACAGTACTTCTGGGAAGAATGGAAAAACAGAACTTCCTTTGTCTGGGTCTGGTGGCTTCTTTGCAGTATAAGCAATTTTTGTCAGAGCAGAAGTTTGTTGGCAGGCTGGTGTGGAATGAAGACCTAGGTATGAACGTATATAACCTGTCTAGCAACTTCTGTACTACTGACTGCCCACCATTCTGAGGGGGATGGCTCTGACCTGTGTAACACTTGAACAACAGCCAGCAGTCAGCTGGAGTGTTTATTGACAGGACTGAAGCAGTGGTAGAAGATTCCCATGTGGTTTAACTGTATGTTAGCTAGCTGAGTTAAGCTTTGGCACTGCTGACCTGCATTGTAGGATGCCTGTTCTGACTCTGGAAGACTCCATATTTTGCCCCTTGTGCTTAGGAACTTTCCCCTGTGATGCTGCACAGACACAGCTGGTGTCAGTGGGTGACAGGTTTCAGCTGGGCTTCACCCAGATGCAAAGCTGTAAATGGGTGTGCTGATGCTGCCACCTGCTTTCTAGATGAAGCAATGTACAAGAGCCCTCTCTTAAATCACTGCAGCTTTAACCAGCAATGATAACAGGGTTTATTCCCTTCCTCTGCTTTGTTTTTTTGGGTTCCCCTTCATCTTTGTGTTAATAACTGATGAATGTCTTTCCAGCAGTAGGACTGCTAATCCTGCTGGAGATCTATATAATGTCTTTAATTTAAGAAGCTGAAGAGGACCAGAGCATAGAAACGCAGATTAGTATTTGTCTGATCTTGTGTCTGTCACAGGCTCTGCAAATAATGGTATCCTAGGTGTGCTGTGGTGCTCTTGTAGTTTGGTCTTTTGCCTGCCTCACTGCTGGCTGGTGTGGTATGTACTCTTACTTCCTTAGGGTAGCTTTGTATTAGCAGGTATTCTACAGGCTGTGTGTACGATGGAAGGAACTATATCTAGCCTATCTAGCAAGCCAGTTGAGGTTTTTAAGCATTTGACTTTATCAAGATCCCAATGCAGTGGAACTGCTGCACTTTGCTAATCTCTCACCTACTGAAAGGTTTTTTTTATCTCACCTCTCAGTGGGAGTATTGTTTAAAGCACAGCACTTAAATAGCTGCCTAAAAATTTTTTGCATACTTCTGTCTCCTTTCCAGAGTATAAGTGTATTTTTGGCAGATCTTCTTGTACCTTTTTTTCCTAGGCCTCTTGTGTTATTTACAAGGTGAGGTTGAACAAACTAATAGAACTCCTTGCTTGTTTGTAAAATACTAGGTCACAGTTTTCAGATCCTTTCTACCTGGAAATGTAATCATCTGTGAGAGCTGGTAGCTGTGACTTTTTGGAAAACAAAAGCAGATAGAGGTCTATGAGCTGGGTGATGCAGTGAATGGCATTTGTGTTGCTTTCAGCACATTTAGCTGGTTTGGCAGAAATTATGTTTTAAAAAGAAAAAAACACAACAACAACAAAACAAAAACAAACAAAAAACCCCCAAACAAACAAAAAAACCCAACCAAAACAAAACACAACAAACCAAAAACTTAAGGGGAAAAAAAGGGCTACTGTTGGTTGATGGAATGAGGGCCTGTCATTACTTGTTATTCTCTTCTGCCGGAGGGCTTTCTGAGAGTCACTGTACACAGAAACAGATTGGTTTCACAAAACTCCATTGGTGTCATTAGGTCATTCTCACACTGGGATGACCAGCTTAGAACTCAGTGGCCTATGAGTGCAGGAGGCTTGTAGGGCTATGGTAAATGTTTATCAGCAAATACTGCTCAGAATGCTGAAATTTACATGAAAAACATAGTGTGAGAGTGTGGTATTTTTAATACTAGGGTAACAGTGTGGAGTCTGTAGCCTCTCTTTCTAACAAGTACAGTGACAAAGTGCTTCTTCCCCATTTCTGACCCATGCTTGAGCTATTTTTGCAGTAATCCAGCCAATGTAATGAAGCACAGGCATTGTTCCCTTTTGGTGAGATGAAACCCACCTCTGATCTAATTTACTCTGTCTGCCTCGAGGCTTTGCAGTGTGGTAATCTACTTCTGCACTGCCATATTTACTCTTCCCATAGAAGGTGACCATGTGTATTTACAGAAAAAAAAATAAAAAGGCTTGTAACAACAGTGTATGTTTCTGGACAACTAGGAAGGTTGAAATAACATATACAGAGATTAGTTGCCTAATAAATACTGGATTTGTGCTTCAGGACCATTTGGTACTTAGTAATCACGCTGCAGAGGAGTTTTAAAAAAGTGGACATGCTTATGCCGCAAGCAATGGCACTTGCACTTGACTGTGCTAAATTCTAGATGTGAGGTATACTTAGACTCTGGTCTGTTCAAGAACTATGTGAAGAGGAATAGATGTTGGTGGAGAACTTCATAGCATACAATGAGGTGACCAGACTCCTGAATATACAATTTTATGCTCAGTACTTGCCTGCATCTATGTCTTTCCTCAGTTTAAAGTGACTTTTACTGAAATAGTGATGGACCCTTCCAGACTGTATTGGAGTTTGAGCCAGTTGTCACTTGGTTTGGGGGTTTGCTGCTTTTTTTCTTTTTAGCTATTCAAGTAGCTGAGAGCAGCCATCAGTAAGAAAGTAGCAACTTCCCCCAAAGTCCAATCTTCTTACTTCTTGGTTCCTAGTTGCTAGCTAATATTTAGTATCTTCACTGGTAGAAGTAGATAAAAGCATTAGCATTGATGCTTCAACTTATGCCCAAATTTGATGTTAGAACTATAATCTCTTTTCATTAACCTTTCACTAGGTATAAAGTGCTTAAAAGCTGTTAATTAACTTAAATTTTTGTTGCGGCTACTGTGTTGCAACTTCTGTTCTGGAAGGTGCAGTTTTGGAAGGAAAGGTATTTACGGTCCCAAATAGGGCAGACACTGCTTTCATGATGCCTGTGGAGACTTAGCTGGAGTTCGTTGCTGCTGTTCCTTAATTAGAGCATGCACGACCCATTTGCTGACCACTGGGTTGTCCCTGTAGCTCTAAACTTACACCGCCTCTCAGCCTGACCTGCAGGAGAACTGGCTGTGAGAAAGAAGAGGGGTACGTTTTTTTACATAGTTTCGTTGTGGTTTCAGATCCTGGCAGAAGCAGCAGGAAGTGGGTGAGTGCTGAGAAGCTAACTTAATTGGATTGGGAAATCTTATATGGTTTTGCTTCCAGACTTCATGACTCTCTCCATAGCATAGCCTTTCCCGTTAAGATAGCAGAGCACTTATAAATACGACGCAAGGCGTAGTTGCATTGAGGGGAGCATCTCCTGAACCTTCCAGCCACTGGTTTGGTAGTTCTTGTCTGAGGCCTGTGAGAGAGCTTCATGTCTGGGTTGTAGCAGGGTGGATTCTGTAGCCAGATGTATAGTGCTCAGGGAGGGTGGTGGAAGTGTGTAGCTGTTGAACCCCCAGTGTGCCTACAGTGTAAATCCAGTTGTGCAACTAAAGAGGTACTTAAATCCCATGAGTCTTGGAACAGCTTTATTGGAGAACAGAATACCTTCTGCAAGTATTAGTCGATGTAATACTTCAATGATGCACATCCTGGAGAAGAGCAAGCTTTGGTATGTTTCTGCCTAAATTGTGTACCTTGGCAAACTGCAAGGGAATAGCATACCTTTAACTTCCTATATTGTTACCCATGAAAAGCTTCTTACTCTCTGTTCATCCTCATCCTTCCTTCATGCTCTTCAAAGAAAAAGGGAATTACCTGAAAGTATCAAGTATGAGAGGAGCCACTACAGACTTGGGCAAGTGTTCTTCATTCTGCATTTTATGTGTGTTTATACATACAGTGTTGAGCCCAAAAGCCCATGAGCCCATCCACAGTGACGGTCATCAGTGCTTTGCATTTATATTTTTTTTGAGCAGCCTGTAAAGTTAAAAGTGGAAGCTGGAAACTAGAGGCTTAGGAATTTTATTCTGCAGCTGTAGCTGACCGCTGCTGTTTGTATACTACAACTGAGATAACACTGAGATAGAGGTCTTTGGAAAAACCTAAATGTTTGTTGTTTCATACACACTAGTGTAAATAGGGAAATGCCTGGTGCAGTGTAAATGGGAAGGAGGAGAAAGTTTGGCTCTGGAGCTGTAGTCAGGCTGCTCAGTTGGAGAATTAAGAACTGAGCCTAGGCACCCAACACTTGCATTGAATGATTTTCCCTTCTTGTATCTCTAGCAAGCTCTCCCTCAGTCTGCCTCCGTTCCTGGCATGGAGGTGAACAAGCACAGCTGCCCACCACCTCAAACAGCAGACAAGAAGTTAGGCAGTCCCATCTCCTCACTAATACAGAATTGAGGCTTTTCTTCTTGCAGCTATAACTGAGTTTATTCAGGATAACTACTGCACTGTTAACTTATTCCTTCTGCTGTAGCTTTGCTCAGTGAGGCTTGAGTTAATTCTGCAGTCTGCTACACTCAGTGACTGTTTCAATCTTCATTTCTTTTGCTGCAGGTACCAACAGATGTTGAGAAATGTCAAGACCGAGTGGAGTGTTTCAATGCTGACCTGAAAGCAGATATGGAGAGATGGCAGAACAACAAAAGACAAGACTTTAGGCAGCTACTCATGGGGATGGCAGATAAGAACATCCAGTACTACGAGAAGGTATGTGGCACTACTGAACTATTGACAGGAGAAAGAGTAGTTAATGTTCCTCTGAGGTGGTGATAATTCTCCAGGAAATCTTCAGGCTGTCTTGAAGAAAAGAATCTTGGACATCTAAATCAATGCTTTGGTGCTGTGGAAGCTGCTCTTTGTCAGCAGCTGAGTGTAATCTATTGAGTTGCTGGTCATGCTCAAGTGGTTTGCATGAAACTAGCAGACTTTTGCAAGGCAGCCCTGTAACAGCATTTCATCCTAGATGCTTGTCTGTCTTGCATTCTTCAACAAAGTGCTGAATAGTAGTAGTCACAATGAAAAAGACCAAAATTGTGTGTTCTAGTAGTATCACCAGATTAAGATCTCTTGATTTTGCATTTTATGAACCAAACTATATAGGGTAAAATAGAATCATTTGAGTTGGAAGG